ACTTTGAGCGACCGCTAAATATTTTTTGATTGCAAAATAAAAAATAGAGTTAAATTTTTTTCGATATAGAACAATCCTAGGCGGGGGCATTACAATTCCGTCTTCACTCCTTTTGGGCCACCCTAATGTCTATACATAACTTGCGATCTTATTAAGTTTTATTTTTATATTTTGTCTAAATTAACAAGTGACAGCCAAAAATTCTGAAAGCGACAGTACCTATGTCGGCATACATACATACATACATACTATACATAAATAAATGCATGTTTACATTCTTACCTTTATTTACATGTTGTGCGTATGCCGTGGAAGTCTGTATGAATCCACTGAACAGCAAAGGTACAAATCCATTTCAATAAAATCTGGTAGTATTTATTCCTCATTCCTGCCCACTAGTGTGGGGGAGGGAAGGCGTGGCTGTTTGCCAATCCATAATTTTTTTTAAATCTCTGGGGTTTTATGCAAAAATAGATCTATCACCAAAAATTTGCTATTTCGGAGGATCGTTACTAGTCCTTGCCACATTAGAACAAAAAGATTCGGATAGGTGGTGGGCGTGGCAGTTGACCGATTTTCACCATATTTCAGATATATGTATGTATGTATGTCTTCCTACCTTAATCCAAGTTACAAATCGAATTTCATTAGAGTCGGATAACATTTGCTATATCCGCCCCCTAGTGTAGTGGGCGTGGCAGTTTGCCAATTTTTACCAGTTTTCATACTTTTTCTTTTCTTAGTGAAAGTACTNTTTTTTTGTGTGGAGGTATTCTGTCTTGTTTTCATTCACCAACCCCTTGCTGCCCTAACGAGCCTGGGGTATAGTCTGTATTGCGATTCGAAAAGCAAATCATTCAGATTCGAATACTTGGCACTACGAATTTAGTGTTAGTTCGTGTCGCATTTCGAATCCCATTGATTTTCGAATCGAAATACAAAGTACACCCCCTGCTGGTGTTGAGCAGCATCATGCTTTTGCTGTATAAGATGCCACTGCGATGCAGATGGGCAGCTGGTATTCTGCTTTCCAAAATCGGATTGAAAAATTCACACAAATGTGAGGCGCGCGAAGAGGTCCTTCCTAATTTGTACGGAGCTAAAGATTGTGATCAACGTCATTGTACATGGCCATATAAGCTATACGGGGATACCTAATTTAGACATAGCGTCGTTGGAGCAGCTTCTATGAAAAGGTGATACCAGTCGATGTGCTTATAAAGGGTCCTTTCGAATTCGATGTGCTGTGAAAACCTGATAAATGGTGGGTTACATACTGGTAAGGCTCAATCAGCTTTCTAATATAGGATATAATATGCCACGTCAAGAAAACCTATCTCGAGGTAATTTGCGCAAACAACAGGATATCCTTTCTTAGGGATTGGGTAAAACACACAGGGATTCCATTCTTCGGGCATGTCAGGTAGAGAATACGATACCAAGTAGCAAAACTTCTTGAACGAATCAAACATACACAAGTCAGAATTGAAAGACGTTCAACTTTTCTTTTTCTAAGTAAAACTAAATGCAATTTAAGTTTTCACTAGAGAATTTATATTTTGCTGCAAAATGTCTTCCGGTGCAGACTTCTAGTAGATACATATGCTCGTAGGTACGAAGTATACATATAAAAGTTAACTAACTGTCGGTCAATGTCAAAATATTTTCAACGTAATAATCGCTGGAATGAGTTCTTCCAAAAATAAAAAGGCGGTAGTAATCGGCCGCGCTTAGGGATCATAACCCTTGCTACGCAGAATTCTCTTTTCTGTGTTGCCGAAGAAGAGGGGACTTTATTTGAATGAACTACAAAAGGTGTAAGGTTGTCACTTGATTGTAAATGGATTTAAATTTTTTATTATCACTGAATTCTTAAAGCAGATCATAATAAAATATTTATAGCAAATTAAAGGTAATAAATGCACTTTCTAAATAATGTACATTTCTTTAGCATTATCACGTCATTTTTTCAGAAAATGTTATTTTATGAAAAAATTAAGAACTTTTTTCGTTTTTTTTTGAATATTTTGGGCTTTAAAATAAAAAAAATAATAATATAACTTCGGTATATGAACTGAATGATAAATTAATTATCATTATTTTGACATATTACTTTTTTTAATCGGTTATGTAGTTCATTAGATATTAATAGTTTTGTTCACACGTTTTCTGGGCTTCTCCGGTAATTACAGCGTAAAATTAAGTTACTTTCACATGTGTCAAAAATGTGTCAACACTAAGGTGGTCCAAAAACAGTAATGCAGTCGGAATTGTAATGCTCTCACCTCCTAGAACTGTTCTATATCGAAAAAAGTATACCCCTATTTTTTATTTTGTATTCAAAAAATATTTAGAGGTCGCTCAAAGTTTTCCATTTATTTTTATATGGGGAAAAAAACTAAATGGCATAGAATTCTTGAAAATCAATATTTTTCGATCGGAAAACTCTGGTACTCTTCAGGAGAATTTCAATAATAATACCCAATTGTTTATTTAACCATTTTTTTATACTAACGATTTTTTATTGGTCCGCCCATTGCATTTTTCGAGGGTTTTGTGGGTTTTTTTTGCGGACCTATAAATTATAGTTGTGATGAAAAAATTGTTAAATAAACTATTGGGTATTACGGTTGAGAATCTCCAGCAGATAAACATAGGGCCGGTTACTCAATGTCTGGTTAACGCTAATGTCCGGTTAAACATTGTTATCGACGTATTCGATTCTATTCACATAACAGGGAGTCGGTAACGACGATAAAGATGTTTAACCAGAGATTAGTGTTAACCAGACATTGAGTAACCTTCCCTTAGTACATAAAAATAAAAAAAAATAACACTAAGGGCCGGTTGTTCAATGTCTGATTAGCACAAATCGGAGGTAGAAGCTCCGGTTAAGCACAACTACTGCTTTATCGATCACATGTTACATGCATGATGTCGAAATCGTCGATAGTGTAGTGGTAGTGATAACCAGACATTGAACAACCGGCCCTAAGGGCTAGTTACTAAATGTCTGGTTAACACTAATTGCCGGTGAAACATAGTTATCGACGTTACCGTCTCCCTGTTGTATGCATGGAGTCGAAGATGTCGATAAAGATGTTTAACCGCAGATAGCATGTTACATGTGATCGATAAAGCAGTCGTTGTACTTAACCGGAGCTTCTACCTCCGATTTGTGCTAATCAGACATTGAACAACCGGCCCTGACATTGAGTAACCGGCCCTAAAACTAGAAAGCCCCGGAACTTGGGAGGTGGGTATATTTGAAAAGCGGAGATTGAACACTGCAAATTCCTGATGTGACGTGAAACGTGCCGGCGTATTCTGACAGTGGTTTTGTGTATTTTCTTGTATATTTGCTCAGGTATAAATCAAACTGTCGTCAAAGTATTTAAATTTGCTAATGAATTTACTAGTGTTAAAGCTAACAATTTGTTTTTCAGGGTATCAACTTGCTGTGAGTAGCGGGCATTGTGCGTAAGTACATACATCCATATTCATATTGCGGAATAAGTAAGCTGCATACAATTGAACTGCAACTCGACGCCCCGTGCAGTGCCTCACAAACTGTTCATATTTGTTTACATTTCACACAGCTGATTTTACAAGAGCGGTCAGTTATTTACCAATAGGTGCATTCATATCAAGACATAAAATAAAACAGCTGCAATTCTGCAAATCTTTATAAATATGACTTTTGTCGACACGGTGAGTATAAGCGTTTTGTAGACCAGCGGATTACTTACAATTTTGGCATTTCTTTTGCCTTTTATTCATTCTTAATACAGGTGCGAGAATTTCATGCTTTGGGCTGTGATGATGACATAAAGTGTGCTCTGGGCGTTCGAGTATTTTTGGACTTGGAATGCGGTAAATATACTCTATGCTTGTATAAATCCTTCACACAAATTTTAAAGGAATTTTTTTCATTTTGCAGATAAACGTGTTACAAAATTGTCGAAATGTTACGATTCGGAATTGAATTTGGTATATTTACAAGGCGAACGTGATAATGCAGTTGTCACTTTTGTGCCTGTTTTGTCCAGTCAACCATTAAATTTCGTTGACCTAGAAAGTATTCAAAAGAAATTAATTGGAACGGATAGTAAAAGGTAAGAAATTTAGAATTTTAATAAGTAGTATCAGCACATGTAAACGGAATTTACTTGCATACCTACCTCATTTATTTTAAATTTATATTTTAGCGCTGCGATTACTATAGCTATTTGCGACACTTCAACGAATGTTCTTTACTACGAAGTAACGCCAGGCGTGGTCGACAAAAAATTATGATTAGCTAAAAGTACGCAAAGTCAAATGTGTTACTGATTTGAACAGTAAGTAAATATTATTTATATCGTCGATGTTTTTGCAAAACCGTCTATCGACCAATTGCAAAACCGCCTATCTTACGGCACTCAAATTTTACAGGAGATCGAAAAAACGGTTTATTCTTTGGAGGCATTGCCACGATTGGGGGGCGGTATTTTCTCTAGCTATTATTTTAAAAATCTGTGGTTATAATAACGATTTAACGATTTTTTATGCATAAATCTCGATGCCTAGAGTTCAGGGTTACCAAATCTCATTTTTGCCACAACGGCGGTTTCGCATCTGGTTTTGCCAAAACATCGACGATATATAATGTACATATGTACATAAATCTGTGTGAAATTTGGAATTTTTTGGTCAATATCTTAGGCTCGCCCANTATCTTTTTTGCATCTGGTTTTGCCAAAACATCGACGATATATAATGTACATATGTACATATTAGCGTGGGCCGAAAATCCGCTTTTTTAGAATTTTGATTAGTAATAGCAAAAATATGGTTCATTATGCTTTAAGAAAAATCTGTGTGAAATTTGGAATTTTTTGGTCAATATCTTAGGCTCGCCCAAGTCCAACAAAGTTCAGTAAGCTCAAAAAATAAAAATTAATAAATAAATAAATTAATTAATTTTTTTTTGTACTAAAATTGCAAAAATCTTCGAAAGTATTAGTCCTACATAATTTGGTAAATGGACCTTTTTTGTAGAGAATCGAAGTTAGCTAAGAAACAAATTTTTTTTAGTACTTGAACTTTGATGGACTTGGACGAGCCTAGGATATTGACCAAAAATTTTCACATTACACACAGATTTTTTTTTAGAGCATAATGAACCATATTTTTGCTATGTCCAGTCAAAATTCTAAAAAAGCGTATTTTCGACCCACGTTAGTACATATTACATACTACATTACTTTTTTATTACACAAATTTTTAGGTAGTGAATTGTTAAATTGAGTTTTAAATAATCGTTGATATTTTCGCTGTAGCGCACATAAATAATTATGTACATATGTATGTATATTAGNACACACAGATTTTTTTTTAGAGCATAATGAACCATATTTTTGCTATGTCCAATCAAAATTCTAAAAAAGCGTATTTTCGACCCACGTTAGTACATATTACATACCACATTACTTTTTTATTACACAAATTTTTAGGTAGTGAATTGTAAAATTGAGTTTTAAATAATCGTTGATTTTTTCGCTGTAGCGCACATAAATAATTATGTACATATGTATGTATATTAGGGTGATCCTTAAATGTAGGAGGAAATTTTTTACATCAGATTTCCTAATCCTCAACCCCTACGTCGTTATATGACATATAAATTTTGGTCTCGATTGGAGACGGTTAAGGCGTTGTGATTGCAACTCGAACAAGCCCAACCGCATTCGCATCCACGGATGTCTAAAATTCCACATTCGCAACATCCCTAGTATGTACATAGCCTTGTGGTCAGCTGGTTAAATCAAGTGACATTTTGACTAGTTTTGGCTATTTTTCTTTTGTTTTTTTAATGTTTATATTTTTTTTTTCATACACACATAAATCCACATTTCAAACTTCGTACAAAAATTATGAAAATTCAACANATTTTTTTAATGTTTATATTTTTTTTCATACACACATAAATCCACATTTCAAACTTCGTACAAAAAATATGAAAATTCAACAAACCAACATTTCCACCCGAAAATTTTAAACTTTTTATTCAGAAATTCTAGGTATGCGGTATTGTAGCTCATTAAATTTTAGTAGGTTAAAGTGCCAATTTCAAGACGGTAGAAAATTGCGTTGATTTTTAATAATTTTTTTGGCTGACGGTGCTGTGCATTTTCTTCCATATAAAATATGCTCGACAATTTCGTTTGTATGGGNCAACATTTCCACCCGAAAATTTTAAACTTTTTATTCAGAAATTTTAGGTATGCGGTATTGTAGCTCATTAAATTTTAGTAGGTTAAAGTGCCAATTTCAAGATGGTAGAAAATTGCGTTGATTTTTAATAATTTTTTTGGCTGACGGTGCTGTGCATTTTCTTCCATATAAAATATGCTCGACAATTTCGTTTGTACCATCAGCAAAAAAAAAATTAAAGTTTTTAAATCTTCTTAGCTAAGAATGTTAGTTGTTATCATTCTTAGCTGTCGCACTATTATTTTTTGAACACAACTGTACATACATAGATTTAAAATATTATCTTCATTTTTTCACTTATTTCGCCAATAGTCTTTACTTACCTGTAATTGAGCCCGAAGTTAAAAAGCAAAAGAAGAATTGCTTAGTTCTAATGAAAATTTCTCATTATGTTTTTATTGACTGGATAATTAATTTTTTTATCATCTTCAAGAATATGTTATAATCACTTTTACATTTCTTCCTTTTTAGTGCTCAACCCTTTCTTATTTTACTTATGAAGACGCAATTTTTAATATGTTCCCAACATTAGTGTAAAAATACGTACTTTTTTATCTATACAATATTAATTTTAAGTTAATTAATTAATTTTTTTGTTTGCACAACATGCAAATTTGTAATGGCTTCATTGGAGTTACTGTTCTTTAGTGCATATGAATTTGTAATTTATGAATGTTTTTGACAATGCTAATGGGATTTAGCTTTTAACCGGTTTCATAAATTTTTGTAAATACATTTTGTATGAGGTTTTCATTCATATGCAATCAGGCACATAAAACGTTAATTATATGTAATACAAATTAGAATTTCTTTTGTGTTGCACAACTACCGGAGCAGCTCAAGGTTGCAACAGTTTTTTTTTTTTCCGTTGCAACGTTTCCAAAATTTTCACGCAACAATTTCTTCTCAGAAACTCGTTGAACTTTTACAAACTTTTCTGTCTTAAAACTCAAAATGCGAATTTAAAATTCATGTTGATTTTAATAAGAAATAGCTACAACTCCTCTTTTAATTTAGACCTCTTTAATGTGTACTCGTATCTTTTTGTGATGCTACATCGTTATAACTACCGCAAAACCCAAATATTTCAGTCCTCAGTTGTTATTAAAAAAGTAAAAACAATCATTAAAAATTTGTCTCAGTAATAAGATAGGACATTTAAAATGGATTTCATACTTCAAATACATATTTCACTTCTTTCTCAGTTGTTATTAAAAAAAAAGTAAAATTTTTAACCGACTTTAAAAAAAAGGAAAGCTGTCCCATTGGAAGCCGGTTTTTACCATACAATCCGTGAACCGAAACATTAAAACTGCACGAAAAAGCAAAAAAATTTAAATAGGCCAAACCGCAACACTGAAACTTACGAACTACTTTTCAAGGGTGATTTCACGACAAGAAAGCTTTCAAGGCTCGCGACATGCGCCATTCATACAATTATTGACAGTTGTTTTTCCGAGACTGGAAAAGTTTCGACGTTTCGAGGTTTTCGAGTTTAAGCGAATCCCCTACCTATCGAAGTAAATGAACGATATGTACATCGTATCTGAATAATCGGTCCTGTTACGGTTGCCGACGTCGACATCGATGTAATTTTTCGTCAAAAAATAGCCCTCATCACTCCTCACCAATGTGGTTTTGCGAGGAACACCTTTCCTTAGACCTTTTACACCTCTTGCACATTTACTGCACATTTTAATGGGAGAGTTGCAGGCTGAATGGATTTTAAAATAAGTATATTGCTTTAAATTAGAAAATTTTCTGAAATGCTAAAATTTGTGTAACATTTTTTTTCGGTATTCAGTATTAAGGGAACTCGTAAAGTTACTTTTAATTAGAGGTGCTTGCTACCACTCCGTGGTCCGTAGGACCACTCGCCGCTAGGCAAGCAATGGCAAATCTTCGAGTGTATTACTCTCTTGAAAAAGCTTCTCACATAAAGCATTTTGTTTTTCAGAGCACGAAAATGAAATTGCCTCCTATGTAGATTACTTTTGAAGTAGAATTCATCTAAGGTGGTGTTACCAGAACAGATCTGATTTGATTTTTATCGGTCCACAAATGTCAAAAATTCATATTCCTTCTTTGCAAACAAATTTATATAAGTATCCTTATTGTTTTATGTTTTATTTTTTTGTTCAAAAGGAATTACTATTACGTGATTTTTATTCTTTCGATTAAAAACAATTATTATTATTGAGTTTTGTTATTTCACTTAAGAATAATGAATTATTTAAAAACTCAAAAATTATACTACCATTTGTGTTCGAAAAAATTAGAATCAAATAATTTATGTTAAGCGAAAAAATAAAACTCATAAAGTATATATGTATATTCTCAATTTGACTTCCGTTGCTTTGCAGACGGATGCGATATCTATTCAAAGGTCTTCTTTCTAATACAACTTCCAAACACGTTTTTTTGAAAAAGCTCTGCCTGGAAGCGTTGTTAATTTTGCCGTCGCCTAGATTAATACCCCAGAAAACAATCACAGTAGTCAATACTGCGTCAGTATAATTTCGTATAAATTTTCCTATTCTAAAACTGGCCTTGAAGTTCTGAGCATTCTACAAAATTTCCACATCGTTGAGCACGGAGGACCTATCGCTTCAAAAGAACAAAAGGAAGGGCACCTTTTTTTCTTTTTCATTATGTTTTGCCAACTGCGTCAATTTCAGACAGTGTACACAATTCAAAAATATTTTTAAAAATTCCCTGACGTAAATAAAATTATCCAGTGAAATACTAAAAACAAAATTAAAGTTATAGGCATCATTCATATTATATTTTTTTATTATCAATCATTCAAAAGAAAATCGTGATTTTTATACGTTATATTACAATTGAAATTACTTTATACTTGATAGTTATTTAAGAGTAATTAAAATAGTAAATTAAAAATATTAAAAAAAAAACAAAGTAATAACTAATAGGGAAAATTATGTTATAAACAATAGTATAAATTATGCGTTTACAAACGGATGAGGAATATGTTTATGCTGATATAAATGAAAATAAAAACGCAAAATACTTGAAGTATTCAATAGTTATTGGTTAAACATTTTCGTAATTTTACAAATAATTTAAAGTTAATGAAAATGTTGAT